GGGTGGGGGGTTTTTGGGGCGCCCACCGGTCGTAGCAGCGGCCGTGCAGCAGGGACTTGGCGTAGGCGTCCATGCAGCCGGGGGTGCCCGGCTCCCGGCCGTGCTCCTCCTCGTCCAGCGTGAGGAAGAAGGCCCCGCGCTCGATGGCGTCCAGCGACGTCTTGTTGGGGCCGCGGCTGAAGAACCGGGCGCGCGCCTCGGCCCAGGGCACCCTGCGGGACCCCCGGTCAGGGCGGGGGGCACCCCCACCCCCGGGCACCCCCCACCCCCTGGGCTCAGGGTCCGGCGCTGGGAGCCGTGGGAAGGGGGGGTGGGTGATGTCCCCCCCGTCCCGCCGAGCCCCCCAAGCCTCCTGCCCCCCTGCCCTGACCCACCTGAGCCCCCCACCCGCGGGGGATCCCAGGGCATGTCCCGTGCCCCGGTGCCCGCCCCCAGCACCCCGGGCAGCACCCAGGAGGTGCCCAGTGTGAGACTGGGGACAGGACAAGGGGAGGAAGGGGGACAGGGATGGGGGGCAGGAGCCCCTGTTGACCCGGTGTGTCCAGCACTCCCAGTGATCCCAGTGTGCCCAGTGTACCCAGAGTGCCTCACGTGCCCAATGTGCCTGGTGTTCCCAGTATCTCCGGTGATCCTGGTGTGCCCAGTATTCCCAAATCGCCTCACACACCCAGTTTGCCCAGCATTCCCAGTGTCCCCAGTGTGCTCAGCATGCCTGGCATGTCCAGTGTTCCCAGCATGCCTGGTGTTCCCAGCGTGCCCAGTGCTCCCAGTATGCCCACTGTTCCCTGTGTTCCCAGGAGACCAGTGTCCCCAGTGTGCCCAGTGGTCCCGGTGTGCCTGCTGTGCCCAGCTTGCCCAGCACACCCAGTACTCCCATTGTGCTTGCTCTGCCCAGCATGCCCAGTGTCTCCAGTGTGTCCAGTGTGCCCGATGTGCCCAGCATTCCCAGTGTGCCCAACGAGCCCAGTGTTCCTGGTGTTCCCAGCCGTGCCCAGCACCCCCAGCATTCCCGGGGTGCCCTCCGTGCACCTCTCCCCGGCGGTGAGCGCTGCCAGCCGCTCCTCCCCGGGCTGGGGGGGCGAGGGGTCGTCCAGGATGCGCTGGAACTGCAGCTCCAGGTCGGCGGGGGGCAGGATCGTCCCCCCGTAGTAAAGCCACACCTTGTAGTAGCGGCCCTTGTGGTACACGGCCAGGTGTTTGCTGTCCGCCAGGTGCAGCAGCGTGTCTGGGGGGCACGGGGGGGTCACGGCCGCCCCCCGGGATGGGATCCCTCGGGATGGGGCCCCCCCCGGATCGGTGCCCCCCGCCCATACCCGTCTCCTTGCCCGGGATGCGGGTGGTGTTGAACATCCGCTCCGACTGGTAGGAGCACATGGGCACGACACCCAGTGCCATCAACTGGGGGGACACATAGAGGTCAGGGGGGGTTGTGCTCCCACCTCCACCCTCTGTGTCCCCCAATCCCGGCCCCTCCAGAGCCTCCGTGCCAGCCCACGGTGACTCCTCTCTGTCTGTCCTTGCCCTGCAGCCCTCCCTGCCTTTCCACCCCCCCCAGTGTGCCCAGCCACAGCCAGCTCAGCCCCACGGGACCCCCTCATCCCCACAGAACCATCCCCAGACTCCCCAGCCCCATGGGACCAACCCCAGCCCTACAGGACCCCTTCAGCCCCACGGAATCACCTCCAGCCTCCCCAGCCCCACGGGACCCTCCCCAGCCCCATGGGACCAACCCCAGCCCCACAGGACCCCCTCATCCCCACGGAATCACCCCCAGCCTCCCCAGTCCCACGGGACTCCCTCTGCCCCACAGAACCACCCCCAGCCTCCCCAGCCCCACGGGACCCTCCC